CTACAATTGGTTCCGCGCATGAATCTTTATATTTCAATATTTTTATTTGATATACCTATTTTCGTCCTCTATTTAAGAATTTAATTCGGAATATCTTTTACTTATATCAAAAACCAAAAAATTAATTCAATCTTCATGGATTTCTTTGGATTTCGGATTGCAAATTAATCTCTTAAAATTAATTTTCAATACTTAACTTTGATTTTATTGAACATAAAAAATTGGTTTGGATTGTGCTTAACAATTACATATTATAGATTGATGTTTTTGATGATATAATTAAATTTAATCAAAAATATGATAATATTTTGAATGATATTTATATATATATATTTTGATTTTATATCGATTCTATTTTGAAATTCGAAAATAAATATTCAATTTTATTGGAAATATATAAATATGTTGATATATAACAATCATACTATTATATATTTCATTTTTACACAATAACTATTTAAGGGGTGGAAAAATATTTTCCACGAAACTTATTGATATTAAGAGAATATATATCTATATATTGGATTTTTAGGCGCATATAAATATTTGCAAGAATATTTCATAATCAATATTTTTAAATATATATTTTTGATATTTCGTGTCTTTTTTCAAATTTTACCTAAATATATTTAATCAATCAATTTTCTATTTATAATAATGTCGTATTATTTTTTTTAAGAAGGAGTCCGATTAAGATATTTTTCGTATTTTTTTTTGTCGCATTTTTTTTTGAAAATTCTTCTTCTTTTCTGGAAAAGGATAGAGGTATCTTGCGGTGTGACCCGAATAAATAATATATTTGTTGGGTGCGGAATTAAAACTGAATTTCTCGGAAAAAAATATTCCAAATTATTTCATTTCTAAAAGGACAATATATATGAATAAATCTGGGGTACGGAAATTTTAGATATTTTCGTCGAATTTTATATATTTCTGTAAATGTATCGAGCTTATCCTAATTTTTTTGGTGTACTTTCAATACAAAAACTATATATTTTTAATTTATATTTATATATATTACATTATTTTCGAAAAAATGAATTTTAATATTTTTTTCCTGGTAAATATTTAAAAAATGGAAAAAAAAAAAATATTTACTAGATATTTTGATTTATTTTTGACCTATTTCATTTTTCCTATACGATTATTAATATAAAAAAATATATTTATATTTAACACTTGAAATTATAAATAATATATATAACCTATTTTTTGGGTCAATTTTACTTTTCAAAATCAAAATTATTTGACGGAAATATTGGAAATATATTTAAATATAAAACATATTAATATCATCAGAATAATTATAAAATTACAACTATTTATTTAATATTGAATTTTTTCTTCAATTTTCTAATAATACATAATTTCAAAAAATATTCATTATAAATATTTTTTGCCAGGATTAAATTATTTTCGATTATTTTATTTTTTTAGATTTTTTCAAGAAAAATATGAAATAATATTTTTCTTTCACATATTAAATTTTACATTTGAAGAATAAATATATTTTTTTTTACATGAATTTTTAAATAATAATATATAAATATATATATTTTTTTCAAATATCCATATACGCTTCATTTTACGAAAAAAATAATATATGATATTATTCTGATTATTTTGAAAATTGGGCATAATAGGGCTTGGGGGGTTAGAATGATATGGTTTAGGGATTGGGCATATTAGGGTTTAGGGGTTGGGTATGATATGGTTTAGGGGTTGTTTAGGGGTTTGGGCAGAATAGGGTCCAGGGATTGGGCATATTAAGACCTAGAAATTGGGAATATTAGGCTTGGGTATAATAGGATTTCGGGCTTGGGCATATTAGGATTTAGGAATTGGATATAATAGGGTTTAGGAATTAGATATATTAATATTTAGGATATTTTTTTAAATTATAAATATAAATTTCATATAAATATATTTTTTTTATTATTTAGGGGAATAAAATATCAAATATATATATTTAAAAATAAAAAACAATTACAAAAAATATAAAAATATAAAGAAAAGTATCAATGCTAAAATTCCACGACCTCATATCCAATTTATATATTTTAGATATCTATATATATTTTTAAATTCAAAATAATGCAATAATATTTAAATTAGGAAAAATCATTAATCTAAATAATAATTTATTTTTTAATACATATATTTTTTCTTAAAAAAAATATTAAATATTATAATTAAAAATATTTCTTCTTAAAAATGCCACTATATTTTTATAATATATATTATTTTTTTTCAATAAATATAATCGTCGCATTTCAAATTTACCTTAAATAAATCTTATTATATTAAATATAAATATTTTAAAATAAAATTAAAATTTTTTTAAAACAAAAATATATTATATATATATATTATTTTTAATATGTATATTTTCAATACAATAATTTAATTAAATTTTTTTCCCCACAATAATTCGTTATATTTCTTATATTTCTGAAAAAAAAAATAAAAAATTAATTTATTTTCATAAAAAAATGGGGGGAATATCCGTTTAGGGTTTAGGGTTCGAAAACGGGCGTCCCTTCCTGGAGTTTAGGGTCTAGGGTTCGTCGCTGCGGCGTTGTTATTTCCGAGCTTACGGTCTAGGGTTCGGAGCGCGGGCGTCGCTTCCTTGAGTTTCGGGTTTAGGGTTCGTCCCTGCGGTGTGGTCTTTGCGACGCCTGCGAGGTAGTAATTCAACGGTATGGTATTTCTTCCTGGAATTTAGGGTTTAGGGTTCGGAGAACCAGCGTCCCTTCCTGGAGTTTAGGGTTCGTCGGTGCGGTGTAGTCTTTACGGAGTTTAGGGTTTAGGGTTCGGAGCGCGGGGGACCCTTCCTGAAGTTTAGGGTTTAGGGTTCGTCAATGCGGCGTAGTCTTTGCGAAGCGTACGGCTTAGAGTTCCTCGCGTCAGCTTGGTTTTTGCGGCGTTTCGGGTCTAAGGTTCGCAGCGCAGGCCTCTCTTCCTGGAGTTCAGGGTTTAGGGTTCGGCGATTCGGCGTGGTCTTTCGCGATGTCTGCAAGGTAGTGATTGTAAGCGGTAGCGCGTTTCTTCCTGGAAATTTCGGGTTTAGGGCTAGACTCTAGGGTTTAGGGTTCGTCGGTGCGGCATGGTTTTTACGGAGTTTAGGGTTTAGAGTTCGGAGCGCGGGCGTCCCTTCCTGAAGTTTAAGGTTTAGGGTTCGTCAATGCGGTGTAGTCTTTGCGGAGCGTATGGCTTAGAGTTCCTCACGTCAGCTTGGTTTTTGCGGCGTTTCGAGTCTAGGGGTTCGGAGCACGGCGTTCCTTCGTGGAGTTTAGGGTTTAGGGTTCGGAGAACGAGCGTCCCTTCCTGGAGTTTAGGGTTCAAGGTTCGTCGCTGCGGCGCGTTGTCCTATTCTGTCGACCCTTTCATGATCTAACCCGAGATCCCTCGACACACTAAACGATTCACGCCTATCTCCCCAACCTTCCGTCAACCCCCGTCCTCTCATTTTTTCCCTTTACAACTTCTTCTTCGCATTTCCATCGTCGATCCCTCCACACACGAGAAGGCGCGCCGCAAGCGCCGATTTTTCTTGTTTTCAATTACAATTTGCCCGCCGGTGTCCGCAAAATAGGGCCAGTCAAGCCCGAAAAGAACCCGACTACAACTTACTGGGCGCACCGGCGGCGGGGCAAAATAGTAAATAGTGCCAGTTAAGCCCGAAACGAACTCGACTACAACTTACTGGGCGTGCCGGCGGCGGGGAAAATAGGGCCAGTTTAGCCCGAAGCAGGGCCGACTACAACTTACTGGGCGCGCCAATAGCGGCTCCCGCGGCAGGTAAAACGATTTATGTCTATCTCCCCAACCCTCCGTCAAGTCCAATCCTCTCAATTTTTTCTTAACGCTATTTCATTCCCATCTCCCTGTGAATCCTTCGATACACAAGAAGACCCACCAATATAACGCCGCTTCCCAACTTCCTTTCGTCCCTCTATCGTTTCCGCTTCCCTCCCATTCCCCCCTCCTCCACCGTAAGATCTTTAATTCCCCCCAAGACTGGTTGATAACCCAAAACCCTAAAAGCTTTAGGTCTGGGCGGTTGGGGAAGGGAGTTACCAAAGATCCGTAGTACGGAAGTGGAAGTTTCAAACCCCCTTTGAAAAAAAAAATATGACGGGCAAATCATGATAACAAGAAAATGCAAAGAGGAGGGCGCACAAAGACAAAGGAAGAATTTCAAACAGTCTTTCGATCTATCACGCTTTACCACCCATAAAGCGCAACAACTCACCTCTCCATAGGCTTCCTAACTTTGCAACTTCCGTCACCGACCGATATTCATACAATAAGAACATATATCAATAGCGAAACCGCAGCAACGAAACCACAACAACAAAATCACAAAAACTAATAGATTGACATTCTATTTGGCTTACTACCTCGCATTTTATCTGGCATAGTATGCTGGTCCGGCAAGGCCCAGGGTGCGGGTCCAGCGGGGAACCGGCGAGCTCACCATACGGTTTGGCTCCGGCGGGGCCCCAGGCCCAGCGAGGCCCAAAGAGTTGGCGAGGTGGCAATATGTGTATATGAGTAGAGGAAGCCGGCAAACAAGCTCGCGATGACATGCGGTCTCCGTGTGCCCGTGTAGGATGCCTTGTTAAAATCTAGTGGCTCTCCCCTGGCAGGGGAAAAAGTAACACATACCCGAAAATTTCTATGGAATCTACACATGCAACAGCGAGCAAACAATGGGACACTGCCGCCAAAAATAAGTCCTATATGCGCGAACAAATTTTTACTTGGAAGCAGAAGAGAAAATAAGAAAAACTACGGGTATGGCCGCAAGCTCGCTACAACACTTGACACTCCCCCGCGCTACTTGCCAAACTAAAAGCACCCCAAAGAACGAAAGATACGCAAGAGAAGGGGGCTGATATCTTTCAACAGACTAAAAACCCACGCATGGCAAATATAGAAAAAGCAGCCTCCAACTTGCGATCTTGAAGATTGCAGAAACCTGGCTCGCAGCTCTTTTTTCAGCGCTTCATCATGGATTCTAGGAAACTCACAACGCCCAAGCTGTCCGCCAAAGCCATGGCCTCACGAAGACAGTTTCAACTTTCAACATCTGCAAGTCTGCAAGCAGGCCGCAAGACACCCACAAAGAACCTTCTACATTCCTCTTCCTTCTTGACATGCTCTCTGCGGGCGTTCAATTTGCTCTTACCATTCACTAGGCTTCCTTCTGGCCAGCTTTCACTGAGCTTGATTGACGTCGAACTAGGCTTGCATTAATCATATGAAGAAGGACACAACTGACTGCAAAAACGGATGCGCCACTGACTGCATGCTTTGGAGGCCTTAGCAAACCCTAGGCACCTCAACACCAAGTTCTGCGCAAATCTGCTTTCGTAATTGCTCCTCGCAATGATGTTCTCAATCATTTGAAAAATTGAAATGCCAGAGCCGAACCCTTGGCCGTAAAACGGCACAAGGAAGGCGACGCCCCTTTCTAACCGAGTGCATGACGCTATCTGGGCCCATGTTTTTGGTGTGCTCACGGGTGCTGTCGTGTTTTTTGCATCATTGGGGTGGGGTGGGGGAGCGGGGGGGCAATAACGTTTTTTTGCAGGTGCCCAGAGGTTATGCTACGCTAACAGCCTTTCTCTTGTATGATGCTATGCCAGCAACTCTCCGCTTGTACTTGCAGACTCAGTAGATGTTACGGCAGGCGGGGGCAAAAACATCCTTTCGCACTTGCACGCAGAAATCACGCTACGCTAAGGGGTCTTCTCTTGCACTTGCAGACTCAGATGATGCTACGCTAGCGGCGCATCTCTTGTACTTGCAGGCTCAGATGATGCTACGCTAGCGACTCTTCTCTTGTACTTGCAGGCTCAGATGATGCTACACTAGCGACTCTTCTCTTGTACTTGGGGGTTGTGGATGGGTGTTGGGCTAGCCTTGGATGCCAGACTGAAAGGAAAAGCGAGAGAACAAGAACTGTGGAGATACATGTGGCTTGGCCTGCTTGCAAGAACAAGAATTGTGGAGATACATGTGGCTTGGTCTGCTTGCAAGCTCGACCAGTGGCAATTTGTCTGACAAACTTGGGCAACTCTGTAAAAACAAAGATAAGAGATGCACAGGGGCAAAAAAGATTGCCAGAATCAGTGGTTGAATTTCACCCTTATCTAAACGCATAGTAATTGCGAACAATGAGCCTCAAAAAGAAGTGTTTGAAAAGAGAGATCAAGATATTGAAACAGATGAAACCTTACTTAAACGGGTTCACAATTTCAAGAGGTTGGCTGATTGAAGCCAATCATGAAATGTGTAAGCACCCTAGCGCTCCTCATAGCACGGTGACATTGTTTTTCAGTGTTTTTTCCTTGCGCTCTTTGAACATATGTTTGGTTGTTTTTGAATATAATGCATTTTTTTGAAAGAAGTAGTGGTTCTATTATTTGTTCGAGGCCCTGGGATGTCAATTTATATTTTTTACAAGACTAAGCAGCAGAATGCATCACAATACCAAACTAAAGGAAGTCACGGAAACATACAATAAGCTGGAAACTATCCACCCTGGACCAAAGCTAGACAACAGCAGCATCAAAGATTTATTGGGAACACTCTTGTACTGCGCATACATGTATATATACGTGTAAAAAAGAAATAAATCAGGTATGTATGTTCCCAAAAAACTACATGCAATGATACATATACAAACACATACATACAAACATAAACTGTTCATATACATTATATGTGTGTATAAAGCAAAACACATATTAGAGCAATGTCTTTTGATGCCCTTTACATGCAACGCCTATTGCTATGTTTCAGTGATTGTTGTATTACCATGTGGAAGCCAGTTTTAGACTAGAGATTCTTTCACTGAGTTTCACTGACAACATTCTTTGATTTTGTGGGTTGCCGTCTACAAGGCTTTGTTTATATTCTTTGTCATGCTTGTAACAGTGGAGAAATCTTGGAAATAACCACTGGTGCTTACCAGCAAACTAGCCTATGAGTGTGAGTGGGGCATATTTTTGTTTGTGGGAAAAGCCAACATACATTTGAACGAACACAGTGGGTGTTTGCCGTGCCAAGTTTTTACAATGTGTTTGCGCGTTTGATTGACATTGCACGGTCGTCTCAAAAATCCTTCGCAATTTGTGTTTTAAAGCGCTCTCTTGTGCGTACATAGGAAAAAAAGTAATTAGTAGTACCCGCACGAGGCGGGGCGGAAGTTGCCTTAGGGTTATACTATAAAACCTTTTTCATCTGTAGAACTTGCGCGCGCTGTGCGCCAGCCAGGCCAGTGCGTGCGCGCTTTGTGCGACAGCGGTGCGCTCTTCCAAATGTCACACTTGAGGCTCCAAACTTCACACTTTGCACTTCCACTTCTCACCCATGCTTCATCTCCTCTCATCTTATCTCAGCTCATATCAGCTCTTCTCATCCCATCTCTTCTCATATGTCATCTAAGTTTATGCTTGACTACAAGATCGGGATGCCGAAGACCAGCCCTAGATCAGTAGGGCTTTAGATCAGTAGGGATTTTAGCATTCCCCAAAAATCAGAAAGAAGATGTTTCCTGAAAAAAAAGAAGTTTTTGGAAACATTGAGAAAATTTGGGTAGGTAAACTCTCTTGAAGGAACCACTTGCCACTTGCCACTTGACCAAGCGCCTTTTGCAAATCCCCGTGGAAAATATTATGGCAATATGACTGAATGTTTGTTGGATAGAGGACTCCAAGATGTTTGTATGGCTTAATTCCTTTTCCTGTATCACTTGCTGGAGCACGACTTGGAGCAGCAGATGATTGCAGCTGGACACCAAAGGTGCGCCCGAGCATGTTTTGCTTTGGGGAAGGGTGGTGGGGCTTGAGATTGTTCCTGAAATAATCATGCAGTGCTTTTGTGTTGCTTGTGGAAGTGCTTTATTCTTAATGTACAAAGCTGTATACTAGCAAGAGTAACTTGTCATCAATTCTTGCATTGTTGCTGTGGTTGTTGTGGTGGTTGTTGTTGTTCATTGTTGTTGCTGTGCTGAATTTGATTTCTCAAGTGTTAGCCAGTGCCAGTGACAGCCTTGCCACTTGACCATCCAATGGAGGGGGCCACAGCGTGCCAGAGCCAGTTGCGCCAGCTGACCTTGGCATAGCACAGGCGTACTATGAGGTGTGTGCCCAGCGAATGATGGAGGAGCTGCCGGAGGAAGACAAGTTGGAGATGTATTTCTAATTCAAGATTACTGACTGTTTTTATAGTTGAGGTTTTTTGAAGGGAACCACGAAAATATGTAAACCACCAAATAATAATTATAATGAAAAAACTAACTAACCAGCTAACTAGCTAACCAACTAGCTAACAGACTAGCTGGCTAACTAACTACAGACTAACAAACAAACAAACAAACAAACAAACTATTTTGCTTCAGCAATTGCCCATGAGGCACATCGCCCATGCTGTCCAAGTGGGCAAGAAATTGTCCTGGCCACCATACCTTGAGTTACTAACCTGCAATGCTAATGCAACACTTTGTGTGTTTTTTTAAAATGTGTTTTGGCTTAATTTTGAAATGAAATATCTTGGCATCACAAATCATTTTGGTGTTATGCTCACACCTAGGATCACCTAGGATGGATGGAGGTCGCAAGGTTTCCATGGACGATGTCAATGATCACCCTATGCTTGTGATCCTTGATCATTAATTGAATCAAAACGTTTGTTTGTTGTTTGTGTGTGTGGAACATCTGAAAAGATGTAAAACTTCTACCTTGGCATTTCCGATACTTTGTGGTTGAATTTGTTGCGTTGTCTTCAGGACAAGTAACACCGTTCATGGATTTTTGATGTACTTACCGCTCCATTTGTCTTTTCAAGCAGGGGGATGGAGTGTGCATCAGATGTCTCCATCCAACGAAGACGCATCTGTTGCACAGTGATATGGATTGGGGACGCTCAATCCACGTACCTGCTCAATCTTTTTCATTTTCGTCCATGGCCACCGGCTAAGCCAAGAACCGGCATGTTGTTTTTCAACATTTCCAACATTTTCAACTTTTTCAAACCAACCTTCAACTTGATTTCAGTACGGTTTCCGTAATCTGTCAGGGAAGTCAACTTGCTTCCAACCAGGGCTATGGAGAAGCTCCGTTTTGACTCTTACTCGAGTCTACTCTCTAACTCAATCCTGTCAGGTTTACTGAAGCGTTTTTGCACGTGCGATGCATTCCACATCAATAATTCGATAAGATGTTTCTGAGCAAGTGTGTGATTCATGCTGGATTCGTCAAGGTGGCATGAACCCTTCGGGGAATACCTTTCCAGGTAAATTTTCGACACTTTGAAATGACCTCCGAGTTTACACTTTTGAATTGGTAATTCGTCTAAGTATTGTGAAACAATCGTTCACTTTTCAGGTTTCACTCTGTCGGTCGAGTGAGTGTTGAAACTGCTTGCAGCAGTACTGGGCATCGCCTTTTCATTTTTCACCATGCTCTGCATAGCTGGAAGCCACGACAACAATCTTCCTTTCCAGTGAAGCTCAAGAGACTGCCTGCAGCCATTTTCACATGATCAGGCAAGAGGACATGCTTGCAGGTATGGTGACTCTTCTTTTTATGGTCGTTGGTGAGGTTCAATTGTGCACGTAATTCAGGGGTTGACTACTTCAGCTGTCGATAGGGGTGACTTGACTTCAGGCCATTGAGCCTAACCAGGGGAATTTGCATGACAGTGTGGATGCATCATTTTACATCAACTAGGTCCCCATTGGTCCCCTATTTCATGCGTGCTCCCTTTCTAGGTCAGGTTTGGGTCCTTCGCGTTCCGAGGTAGGCTTTGGCTCTCGCCTTGTAGGTTGTGTCAGGCGCTTCTGTCCGCCCCCCTGCTCTGGTTGGTGTTTTGGCCCGTCGTCCGTCCGCTTTTTCTTTTTTCCCTTGCCCTTTCAGGGTTTGCCCGTTTCGGGCTAGGTGTGTTGGTGTTGGTGTGTCCTTCCCTTTTCCTTTTTGCGTTCCCCCTCTTGTGTTCCGGTTAAGTAAATGTCATCTCATCTTCATCGTCATTTCATTTCCATTTTCTTTCATTTTCATCTTCATCTCATTCGTCGGGGCCTTAAATGCCCCGCGGCAGCGGGGCGTGTGTGTGGAACATCTGAAAAGATGTAAAACTTCTACCTTGGCATTTTCGATACTTTGTGGTTGAATTTGTTGCGTCTTCTTCAGGACAAGGAACACCGTTCATGGATTTTTGATGTACTTACCACTCCATTTGTCTTTTCAAGCACGGGGATGGAGTGTGCTTCAGATGTCTCCATCCAACGAAGACGCATCTGTCGCACAGTGATATGGATTGGGGACGCTCAATCCACGTACCTGCTCAATCTTTTTCATTTTCGTCCATGGCCACCG